AGGCAGGTGGGGGAGGGTGGGCTGAGGGCTGGGAGCTGCTCCTGCTTCTTGACGCTTCCCAGCAGCAGCACGTGGGGGAGGGGTGGGATTGTTAAATGGAAAAAGATTGTCAAAGCAGCAGCTTCTCAGGGGTCCTCTGCAGAAATCCTAAAACGGGAAGGCGTGTGGCTTACAATGTGAGGCACTTAGTCACCTGGACGCTGAGATGGCTCTAGCCAAGCGAGTTTTGTCTGGTCACCATGGGTAGCCTCCAAATGAGGGGATGTTTGCGTCACTGTACCGAGGGGCTGCAAAGACACCATTTGTGCTTCTGGGAGCATCTGCGGGGGGAGGTTTAACCTCCAGTTTGGGACTGGCCTGGCTCTGCAGGAAAGCTTCCCCACGGAGCATGTCTGACATCCTGAGAGGGAGGCCAAGTTCTCACCCTCAGCTTGTCTTCCTGGGCCACCTGCCCTTGGAGCCCCAGGGGCAGCACGTCCTGATGTCGTTCCCTGCTCTCCCCAGGATCTGCTTCCCAGTGCAGGTGAACCGGCTGCCTCGGGAGACGCTGCTGTGTGCCACCCTCTACGCGCTGCCCATCCCTCCACCAGGGAGCTCCTCGGAGGCCACTAAGCAGCGGAGGGTGCCTGAAGCCCTGGGCTGGGTCACTACCCCGCTCTTCAACTTCAGGCAGTATGTGAGCCCCAGAGCAGGAGCTTCTTGGCCTTGGAAGGGAAGGAGGGGTATGGAGAAGGGCCTGGCTGTTGCACTGGCCACTGCCTGTCAGGAGGGTTGGCCACGAGGGGCTCACTGGTAGAGTCCAGAGGGTCCCAGCCCTTGTGCAAGGGACCAAGGCATAGGATTAGTGACCAGGACAGTTGATGTAACTAAGAGCTACTGGGCAGGACTGGTGGCACACTACTGTTGGGGGGGGGGGCATGGAAATGCAATGCTCAGGTCACATGCCATCTGGTCTTGTCACTGGAAGGACCTTAAAGGTCATTTAGTTCAGCTCTCTACCTCAGGAAGGCATCCCTGCCACAGGTTATCCAGACCAGGGTGTGGCTAGCTCAGAAAGGCTTTGACTTTTTCTAGGACCCGGATGAAGAAAAAGGCAGTGGTCTGGGGAGAGAATGAGAGAGGATTTGGGTGGTGGCTTCAAGCAGAAAAGGCAGATTTGGGGATGGGAGAGCAGGAGGGAAACCATGTCCTTAGCCACTGGGTTTGTTGGCTCATCCCCCTTCCATTCTCGTTAGCGTCCTGACCTGTGGCCGGAAGCTTCTAGGCTTATGGCCAGCAACGCAGGAAAACTCCAGTGCCCGTTGGAGTACACCTAATTTCCACCAGCCCGACAGCGTCATCCTGCAGGTGAGATCCCAGCCCCATCCCTAGCCCCTGCCCCCACCCATAAGGACCACACTCGAGTCAGCTCCCAGTTTTCCTGTGAGTTTGGACTGGGATGGGGGAGAAAGTGCTGGAACTTTGGGCATGGGATAATGGACGTCACTGAGCAACTGGTGAATGTGGTTAGATTATGAGTGGGAGGATGAGTTCTGTGGAATCTCTGTCCCATCTCCTGGAGATTAACGTTGATGTCAAGGAGCCTAAAGGCAGGGTCTGGGACCCTCCCCATCCATGCTCAGCTCCTTGGAGTCTCTTGTATTGAACCCTCGTATTACTAAGTGTGATAAAATCTTAGCTGTCCCCTCTTGGGGCCTGAGGGGAAGCCCTCCCCGAAGCAGTCACTCAGTGCTCTAGTGGGTGCACAAACTCATGGGGAGAGGAGGAGGAGCTGGTCAGGACCAAGGTCTGGTTACCAGTTCCTGGCTCCCCTTTCCATGGTCATGAGATACCAGAGTGGACATGGAATGAGATAGAAGGAGAGCTTCAAGAGGCAGGCGTTTTTGTCTGTCCTATTTACTACTCTATGCCCCGGGCATAGAACAATGCCTGGCACATATTAGGGTTCAGTAAACAGCTGTTGAATGAGAGAACATAGAACTTCTTTTGAGAACTGGCTCACTGAGCACCAATACCCATTTTACGAGAACAAACATCTGGCGGCATAGAGCAGGGAACCCAGGATTGCACGCAGGCTTTAGAGTTGGTAGGGCCCTCACCTCGTATGTGTCTGACTCCCATGAGGCAGCAGTGCCCTCCAGGACCACACTGAAGGCCCCCCACCCTTGGCTGGAGGCTTCCAGTGGCTCGGTCCAGTGACACTTCTGTTCAGCGTACTGGCCTGAGGCTGGTCCCTCTCACCCAGATGCATCTCAGCCCAACCTTTCCCCACTTGCCCATTTTTATTTCCCTCTCTTTGTTCCTTCTCTTATTTTGCTGGAAGTTACAGTTGAAAGGGACTTTGGAGAGCACCAAGCTTAACAGGGTTATTTTATAGAAAGCCTGAGGGTAAGGGAGGGAGGAAAGCAGGAACAAGTGTGTGTGAGAGAAGCTGGAGACCTGAGTAGGTGGCAGCCCTCCCTAACCTGCCTGTTCTCCCTCCTTGCTTCTCTGATCCCATCCCCCAGATTGACTTCCCCACCTCAGCCTTTGATATCAAGTTCACCAGCCCCTCTGGAGACAAGTTCAGCCCCTGCTATGAGTTTAGCAGCCTTCGGGAGGAAGACCAGCACGTGCTTAAAGATATCATGCAGAAGGAGTCCCTGTACTGGTGAGACTCGGCATCCCCCATGTGTGGCTCAGGCCCCACCAAGTCTGTCACATTCTGTCTGACCCCTTTCACCTCCCAACTCCATGTTCTTGTCCTCCGGCTTTGGGAGTGGAAGTGGGCTGGGGTGGGCATTGCGACCTGGGCAGGAAGTAGTGGAGAGAGGGTTCTGCTGAGGGCAGCCCCCAGGCCTTTTAGACACTAGGCCAAGTGGAGCAGTCAGGGTCAGGAACTTAGATCTGGGAGTGCCCATCCTCACGCTGGAAACTTGGCTCAGGCCCAGCTTGCGAAGAGGATCAGAATTTTGCCCCACCCAGCAGATAACTTGTCTACTATTTACTGTGACTGTACCACCCTGCCCCTACCTCCTGTCCCTTCCACACCCACAATCTGCGTTTCTCTGGCCTTGTCACTTTCCAAAAAGGATCAGGTGTCAAGGCAAGCTGGCAGCTCTCAGGGGTAAGCAAGTCCAAGCTGATCTCATCCTTGGGGCTGCTTCTCTCACCAGGATTAGACAAGGGGGTTGAGGAATCAGGACCTGGAGGAGCTGGTGGGAGGCCCGCCCTCTCTGTGTAGCTCTCTGGCTCCTGCACTGCCCTGTGCATGTTGTGGGTGGGGGGAAACAGACAGAGACAGGCTTCATCTCTCTCCTTCCTGTCCCACCCAGTGCAGCCAGCGTAGCCGAGCGACTGCAGACCTCCCCTGCCCCCAGTCCTCTGCTGGGCCCCTGGCTTCATTAGCCCCTCAGCTCCCTTCTCCCATTAGACACCTGATCTCAGGCAAGGCCTAATGAGCTGTAGGTCCTATAAAACCTCCAGCTGGCCCCAGGAAGCCCCAGGAAGCCTCTGAGCTGCCTGAACCCTGCCATGTGGGGACCGCTGCCCCCTGGTGGCTGTACTTGGGAGTGGTGCCCTAAAGGGCATCCTTAGGAGGGGGAGCAAAGTCTGTGCCTTTGCCCTGAGATCGGCCTCAGGTCCCAGAGGTCCCAGAGTGAGCATCAAACATGAGAGTTGGGCCCTGGTTCCCTTTACACATTGCAATCACCTAAGCATCTTTGAAAAGTACCAATGTCACTTCCCCACACGTCCTGTGTTCATTGGTGTGGGCTGTGGCCTGGGCCCGAGGATTTTACAAAGCTCCTCAGGTGGCTAATGTGCCACAAAGTTGGGGGCCCCCTGAGTTGGCGAGTGTGCGACGTCCTGTTGGAAAATACCCCTGCCCTCGGGCTGACTCTGTTCTCTCTCACCTCCCCTACTGCCCTCACCCCAGGCTCACTGATGCTGACAAGAAGCGCCTATGGGAGAAGCGATACTATTGCCACTCGGAGGTGAGCTCACTGCCCCTGGTGCTCGCCAGTGCCCCGAGCTGGGAGTGGGCGTGCCTGCCCGACATCTATGCTCTCCTGAAGCAGTGGACCCGAATGAACCACCAGGATGCCCTGGGGCTCCTACACGCCACGTGAGTTGTAACACCCACCTTTACCGGCCAGGTGTCCTTCCAGAAGCCAGGGCTGGGCGCTGCCCATCACTGACCTGGGCCTCAGAGCCTGTTGCTTGGTGGTCAGGGTGCTGGGCTCTGTTTTGCAGCTTCCCAGACCAGGAGGTGCGGCGGATGGCTGTCCAGTGGATCGGCTCGCTGTCGGATGCCGAGCTGCTTGACTACCTGCCCCAGCTTGTGCAGGTGGGTGCAGTGGCCTGCCCTCCAGTTCTGGCGGTCCTACCCCCAAACCCCCATGTTGGTTGTGTTCTGCCCCTTAGAACCAGGGTGGAGATAGTGGCAGGTATAGATTACGGGCAGTCAATAGAGCTTCATCTTCCCTCTCTCCCAAACAGGCCCTGAAGTACGAGTGCTACCTGGATAGCCCCTTGGTGCGCTTCCTCCTGAAACGGGCAGTCTCTGACTTGAGAGTGACTCACTACTTCTTCTGGTAAAACTGCGTGCAAAAGGGGGTGGGAGATGTGGGTCCTTTACTCAGGGGTCTTCGACTCCTAGGCACGCAGGGTGGGGAGCTGAGTCTTCTGGGTTCCAGTATATTGCTGACTTGCCATGTGACTCAGGGGGTCTCAGTCCACTGCTGTGTGGCACAGTGAGGATCTTCCCTGGCCCTCCTACCCACCCACACACTGAGAAAAAGAGAGGAGAAACAGAGGCCGAGGGCCTGTGAGCTCTACTTAAAGGAAGAGTTGGCATAGACGGGGCTTCGAGTGAGCTCCTGTATGAGCTGTGCATGCAGAGCTATTTTCCCTCCCAGGATTGGAGCAGGGTCTGACCCCTGCCCCCCCTACACCCTTGCCTGTGATACTTTGAGTGGCCTGACTGCCCATTCCTTTTGCTTTGCAGGTTGCTGAAGGACGGCCTCAAAGACTCCCAGTTCAGCATCCGCTACCAGTATCTGCTGGCAGCCTTGTTGTGCTGCTGCGGCAAGGGGCTGAGAGAGGAGTTTAACCGCCAGTGCTGGCTTGTCAACACCCTGGCCAAGCTGGCCCAGCAGGTCCGGGATGCTTCCCCATCTACACGGCAGGTGAGTGGGGTGGGAGCTGCTTCTACCCATTTCTGGTCCTGGGCTTCTGCAGCCAGTCATGAACTTAGGCATCCTAACCAGCAGGATGGCACCTGATCATCTCTGATTTAGGGACTGAGGAGGGATGTGACTCTCTCTAGGCTACAGGTCGTAAACTGACAGTCTGCAGGCTGGATAAGGCCCAGGGATATGTTTTGTTTGGCCTGCAAAGTATTACCACTTTTATTTAGCTTTTTGCCTTAAAGGCCAAGCACAGTGTGTGAGTTGCTCACTGCACAGGAGCACCCAGTCCAAGGGGGCAAGTAGGGGCTGGAATACAGTCAGATGGTCACTAGGCTGTGAGCTGGCTCAAGGCTGCTGCTACCCAGAGAGGGCACCTTTATCTGTGTGCACATGTGGGCTGTTAGGCCAGCAGCTAACATTAAAAATTAAGAGATTGTAAAATGCAAATTGTTAGCTTTTCTTGGCAACTGTCTGAGCTGCCTCCCTACCTTGACATGAGCCTCCCCTCTCCATTCAGGGGCCTGCCTGCTGTGAGCTGTTCTCTCTTCATCCAGCCCTTTCCAGGCTGGGGCATGGGAGGGGTGGTCTTCCTTTTACACAGCCTCCTGGAGGCTTCTGGGGGTTGTTTTCATACCAGTTACTGCCAGGTGCCCCCCCTGGGGAGAGGCTTGGTTCTGAGTGGCCCCTCACCCACCCCTCCTCGTTTGCCTCCTCCCGTCCCTCAGGGGATCCTCCGCACGGGCCTGGAAGATGTAAAACAGTTCTTTGCCCTCAATGGCTCCTGCCGCCTGCCACTCAGCCCCAGTCTGCTGGTTAAGGGCATTGTGCCCAGGGTGAGTGACTGTGCCCAGGGTTTGGGGCTCTCGGAGTGGGGAGGGCTTAGTGGAGGCGAGGTCCTTACAGACCTGGTTTTTGAGGAAAATGAGGAAAAAAGGCATGTTTGGGTCTCTTCCCCAACCCTAACGCATAGGGACTTTTGCCCAACAGCTGTGCAGGGTTGGGGACTGGGGTGGGGGCCGGGTAAGCGGCTCGTGATGGTGGGGCTGAGGCCGGGCTGGCGAAGCTGTCTCTGTTATTTGTGAGTGTTCTCCGCTCCGGGCACTGCTCTGAGTGCTGCATCCTCACGACTCTTAGGAAGCCCCTACTGTGGAGCCCCATTTCACAGAGGGGTAAAGACGGGACATATGACTTGCCAGAAGTCACAGCACTAGTAAGTTGTGTGCAGAGTGAACTGAAGGGATGAGAGAGCAGGTGCTTGAGCCGACCTCGTAACAAGCTGAATAGACGATGGTAGTTAGAAAGGAAGGAAGGAACTAGGGCTCCTGAGAAAATCTGGGAGAAACTGAGCAGGTGGACCGGAAGCAGCTTGGCCCAAGTAGATGGGCCATTTTCCTTCCTGGGTGCGGGCCACCCTGACCTCAACACTCCGCTCTCTCCTGTGGTAGGACTGTTCCTACTTCAACTCCAATGCCGTCCCCCTCAAGCTCTCCTTCCAGAATGTAGATCCGCTGGGCGAGAACATCAGAGTCATCTTCAAGGTGAGGACATTGCCCTCAAGCCTGGTGGGACGGAGGCTGTAGGGAGAAGGGGAAGAGCCCAAGGGTGGCAGCCGCAGGCCAGTGCTCTTTCTGCTGTTCCATGCTGCAGTTTTAATACACGAAAGACCATCAGGTGAAAAAAGTAGACCAATTCTGCACGGGCCCAGAGGTTGGGACCTGTAGGGAGGCAAGTGATAGCTCAATCCTCAGAAGCACTTTCTAGGAGGCAGAGCAACCCCTACAATGGAATATAAGGTGATGATCTGCTTGTCCCTGGGGGTATTCAAGCAGAGGCTGAATGACTGTGGCAGTGATGTCAAAAAGGAAATTAATATATCAGGTGCAGGTTGGACTCATTGAACCATAAGGCCTTCTAACTAATACATCCATGCTTTGGAGAAGTGAATGATAGTTTCAAGGCATGTAATCTGG